TACACGAAATAGGGTGAATACATCTCATTACACTGATTTACTGGTAGTCTCGAAACCCTACTTACATATGCATAATAATTTCCCAAGTCGGATTGTGGACGTGGACCGTGGACGGCGAAACGTCTGGGAATGTACCCCGTCCACGATCTTACTCTGGAAATGATGATGTATACAACGGACTCCGGACTAGGTGCGCTCCTCTGAGTCTTCCTACCAATATGACCAAGTTGCGCAAACAAGGTCAAACAACGTCAACATTTTCTATTTTTGGCGGTAGGTGGGCAGAGATGAAAAAAGACAAACGTGCTTTACTCATGAAAGGCTAGGCCTGGCAGGGGCATCAAGACGTGCAAAGTCGGTGGCATTTCTTCAAGCGGAGAACGGTCATTTTTGGAGAAGTCTATGGAGGCAGTCTGCATGCGTGAAGTATGAAAATAAAAGGTGACGCCTAACGGAAGCTTGAATGCAACCGCTGTGTTGGGCAGATGCAGAACATACTAGTAGGTCACCGGTTTCCTTGGGATTTACCGAGAATCGGATGGGATGCGACGGCGATTAAATTTGGTAGTTAGAGTGGGGCGGAAGAAACGCGAGTGAAGTAGGGAAGAGAATGAGGCTCAAGGTTGAGATAGCGGGAACGGCATAACCTTATCAAGTCGGCTTGTCAAAAGACCGGCAACGCTAGTGAGGATGAGAAGACTGGGCCGGTTGCATTTGAGGCCGATTTGCGTGCAACGCGGACGCTTTGCCTGGTTCGGACAGAAGGGCAGGTGAAGAAGACATGCGTGTTTGAGTGATAATGGTACCCGAAGTGGCAAGCAGGCCTCATATGCCCGATAATGGTCTCTCATGGGCAGGAGATTACAATGCATTGTGCCCTGAAGGGTGGTATATGGCGAGTCTGGTGTCTGGGGGCTGACTACCTCAGGCCATGTGGATGGGCAAGTGGAAAGGTTGGTGAGGCAGGCCAGCGTTTGCAATGGCTTTGGGCGATAGGACAGTTTTGGAGGCACTCGCGAGAGAATTTGGGTGTCGGAGTGAATAATACGTGGAAGGAGGGACGTTGGGGCAGGGAAGAAAAGACAAGTGTTAAATAAATGAACGAATCGGCGAAGAGAAGTGTACGGTAGAGCGGCCAAGAAAGTGGGTCTTCAGCAGGCAAGGGTGGTTGGTGACTTGAATGAGTGGGATTTGTGGGCAAGTTGGTGTGCCTAGTGGACTCAATGGTTGGCTGAATGGCTAGGGAGTTCGGACCAGGTGGAGGGTTAGTCACGACGATAGTGGGCCTCAGGCATGCCTTCGGAGAATGGTAGACATGTCGACATATTTGACGCGACCTGGACAGATTGGGGGATGAAGAGCGAAAGGATTGGCCCATTCGGTGCTTTAAGAGTTGTTGTTGGTGTTTCTCAAGTTCCTGCTTGTATTATACGTTTGTTGTCTTTGTTGTTACTAGTGCTGGCAATGCTGGTGGTGGTAACTACGATCGTGTTGACGTTAGGGTTGTATGTAGCGGTGGTAGTCCTGATGATGCTTTGGTTGCTAGTGCGGATGCTGCGGCTAGCGGGGGGGGGAGTCAGTTGTGGTAATGGTGGTGTCAGTGTTGTTGTGATGGGAGAGAGAGCACCAATAGCTGTCCCAACCTCAGGCATCGTGCACGTGTGCGCTCAATTCGACCTTGCCAATAAGTAGATTTCAACAGCTGACATGTGGGGGTAGCATGACAGTGTGCTGGTTTGGCCGATTAGCCTCTCTCTCTCTCTCTCTCTCTCTCTCGGGCCATGGAGACAGGCGAGCCGAGCGTTCGAGGCCTGACCGACGGCCTACCCCACCGGGGGACTGGCCAATGCTGTAAATTGCTAAGCGTAAGCAGGCTCGACAAGGGGG